TCCCCTTACTCTTTGTGAAGTTTGTGAACTACCCTGGTATCCTGGGCAACAGGCTCTTTCTTTGAATTAAACAAATATCTAAATTTTACATCACTGACAGAACTGTTCAGTTTTATGTCCTAAAGCTATCAAGTTAAAGGTGAACTTGAAAGCCAAAGGCCTGAAATTAAGCACTGGAAAAATAAACCCTATTTAAATATTAACCACTTCGTAATTCTGCAGATGACTGACAGCTAAATACCCATTTTAGCTGCTGCATTCTACTTGTAAAATGACACCTGATCTGCTCCCTTGGCAAGTTAGAAGCAGCTTCTTTCTCGGACCAACATTTTCCACATATTATCATACACTGTCTGGTTTACGAGTAGGCCACACACTGTCTTAACAACCACCTTAAAGAAACTAAAATACAGACCTTGGCTCTTCTTGCCGACTCGTCTGACCTGAAGACGCGTGGATTAGCAAGAGAACAAGAAGTGCTAAAGTTGGGCAACCAGACAGCAGCGATGCAGCAATACTTCCCACTCCCGCCCCGCAGCAATCAAACCCGACTCCAACCCTGATTCCGCACAAGTCTGGCAGCGGAGCAGAAAGGGCTCGTCCCTCCGGGCCCGCACCGGCCCTGCCCCTCGGGGTGCCACGGCCGGGCCAGGGCAGCCACTGCTTCCCGCACAAACACAGCCTGGAAAGCCACAGCACGGAACAGACTGAACACGAACTATAACACACTCAGAGAAGCGGGAGGTTTTATTTTGTTTCGCTGCGCTTTTTATTCTTGTCGGTCCGCCGGCGGACCGCTCGACTTCCTCTACGTTCGCCCCGTCCCGCCCGAGCACAGCGCGGGGCGCTGCACCGGGGCCGGGCTCAGCTGCGAGCGGAGCGAAGGGGCCGCCAGGAGCAGCAGCCGGGGGCTCCCCCGCCACCGCGGCCCCGGCCCCGCTCCGGCCGCACTTGCCGAGCCCCGGCCGCCCCACGGCCGCCATGGCGCCGCCGCCGCCTCCGCTCACCCCCGCTCGCCCGCGTCCAGGCCGGGCTCTCCGCGCTCACCTGGGCGATGCCGGCGCCCATGAGGCCGCCGCCGATGACCGTCACATGCTTGATGATCAGCTTCTTGGCGGCCGCCGTGGCGGCGGCGGAGGAGGCGGCGCGCACGAACTGGCGCGTGGCGAAGGCCATGGCGAGAGCGCGGAGCGGGCGAGCGGCGGGGCCGGGCCGGGCGGGGCGAGGGCTGCGCTCCGCCCCGGGGGGCGGTGGCCGGGCCCGGCTGCCCGGCCGCGGGGAAGAGACGCGGTGGGTCTTTCACCTACGCTACCTCCGATTCCTTAAGAGGAGTCAAGCAGCAACGCTGAGGTCAGCGCTCCCGCTGGCCCCCGGCTGGCGCTGGGCCGGCGGCGGTGGCTGCGCTGATGCCCGTCCTTTGGCACAGAGGTCACCGCGCTGCCTCCTCAGCACTCACCTTCCTGTTGCCGCTGCTCATGTTCACAGAGTTAATGGGGCTGGAAAAGACCTCTGAGATCACCGAGTCCAACCCATGACCGAACACCATGTCAAACTAGACCATGGCACTAAGTCTTTCCTTAAACACCTCCAGGGATTGTGACTCCACTACCTCCTGAGCAGCCCATTCCAATGTCTAATCACCCTTTATGTGAAGAAATTCTTCCTAATGCTCATGCTAAACCTCTCCAGGTGCTGCTTGAGCTTATGTCTTCTTGTCCTAGTGCTATTTGTACGGGAGAAGAGATCGATTCCCACCTGGCTACAACCTCCTTTCAGGCACTTGTAGAAAGCGACAAGGTCTCCCAAGCCTCCTTTTTCTCCAGGCTAAACAGCCCCAGCTTCCTAAGCTGCTCCTCACAGGACTTACCCTCTTGGCCCTTCACCAGCTCCATTGCCCTTCTCTGGACCCTCTCCAGCACACCTCAGTGTTCTTCCTGTTCACATCATTAGAAGCTCTCTCTCTATAACAAGTGTTTCCTGACTAGAAGGGGATTTTATTTCCAGGCTAGTACAAGTCATATAGTAAACAACAACAAAAAATTACTTCCTTTATAAATACTAACAGCTGAATCATATCAGATGCAGACAGACCTGATTTTCCATGTATTTCATTTATCTCCACAACAACCAGCACTTCAAGTCAGCAACAGCAGCAGCTGACAATACAGCAATTACAGCATATTCTACTTAAGTCAGCATCAGGGTAAACATTGAGCAGCTTGTTTGAGTCAAATAAAAAATAAGAGGATTCTCATATCTCTGCACTTTGTACCAAAAGCCCAATGCAAAAAAATTCCTCATTTCCTCACTCAGCCTCACCTGACAGTAGGTTAGGCAGGAGCAGGAAGTGGTTGTGGGAACAGCTTTACTCAAACAGAGACTCAGTGTTACTGTTCTTTGTGTATACAAATGACAGCTGAGTGGGTAACTAATGAATTTCCCTTAAAAAAAAAAAAGGAAAAATAAAAAGCACTATGCCAAGTAACCTGCAACCTAAGCCCGGGGTATAAGACACACAATTTCTACATACAGCTGTTGCTCCTGAGTGCCCAGCTTCCAGCACACACCAGTGCTCATACTCACTCCTTCCCCACAAGCACTTCAGCTGTCTGCTCCCAGGTCTTCCCTTCTATATATAACAACCTCCTCCCTCCACCGGGCCTCCTCCAGGCCAGAGGCCCCAGCTCTCTGTGGAGGACCCAGGCTCTCCATGGCCACCCTTTTCCCTCTCTGCCCTCCATGCCTCTCTATGCCAGGAGTTCAACAAAACTACACCTCAGCTCCCACCCAAGATTTTCTTTCTTGCACACTGTGCATCTCCTCCTGGTGACAACTCATTTGCCCTTTTATCTTCCTCATCTCTACCCTTCTCTCTCCTTTTATTCTGTGTGTTTTTAAAACATTCCTTGTATCATTTGATCATAACATGCCTGGCAGTGTATTTTTCCAATTTCACTTTGTTTCCCCACATCCTTCACTCCTCATCCAAAAACATTTTGTAATATTTTGTCACTCAGAAACTTTCGTTGTAAGATGCCAAACACCACAAGCTTAGTCAGTAAGTGGAACTCATCAAAAGGACCATGCAAAGCTGTCACACACTTACTTGAGAATTACTTTATTAAAAATAAAAATATATTGAAGTAATTTTTAGACACAAAGGTATTTTCAGCATTCAGAAACAGCCACTCACTTATATATACATTTTTCAACAAGGCATTTGATATGCTTCTTCTGCTAAAAAACAGAGGGGGAGAATACATTTACAAACACAAACCAAATCTGTTACCATTTTACTTAGTTTGCCAAAGACGGCAACACACTTTGAAAACCACAAAGATTTTGTTGCTTTTATGCTACTGTTTAGCTACTTTGATGGCATCCTGTGAAAATTTCAGTGCATCTGGAAGGCATGAAAGGCAAGTCTTTATTGTAATTTCTAACAGCATCTTGCATTCTGACAGACATTGATGTGATTGAACCTTCACATCAGTATTTTTAGCTTGTCACACGATGCAGCATTTGATTACAGGTATCACCAAAACCCACATTCTCAAGATACTATTTGCAGAAGAATAATTTTCAAAGGATAGTTTTCAAAGGTGACATTTTAAACTAAACTCAGCAGGCAAAACAAGCACAAATATGTACAATTTCACATACTAGGGGATTATGCGAATTGTGTTTTCTTTGGAAAATGTAAAAATAAAATACTAAAGTGCTTTTCAAATCTGTCCTCATTGATCAAAAGGACAGACATTTTGTATAAGTGATCAGTTGCACACCAACATCATTATGTTGCTTAAAAGGCATTTCAACAGAAAGATAAATATTATCAGCACTAAATTTTAGCTTCTCAGTCAAGCATATACTATTTTAAGGATTTTTCAGACAAAAATCCTGACTGTACAGAATCTATTTATTCATTGGAAAATACAAAATTAAAGAAATGAGTGCTTAATTCTCCAATACTGTCAGCTTTTAGAGCAAGTTCACTAGCATTGGTATAAAATTCAACTTTTTGTTGTGCTAAGTTTTCAAAAATTTCATACTAATAAAAAATTCAACAGAATCTTATGAAGTCCAAAGTTAGCCTACATAAGAACTGGAAGTTCTCACACAAACAGAGGGATACCTGACCAATCAAATACATAATTCAGAAATTAAGGCACTCTGTTATTCAAAACAGGTAACAGAAAACCTTAATTTAAATCCGAAATAACTATCTTACAGTCTTTGTTAGGCACTACCTGGCTTATAAAATTTCAAGTTTAAAAGTGACAAAACCAGACATTAATTTAAAGCTGAAAAGTTGATTCTTCTTTTACAATTTAGATTCAGTTTCTGCCATGGAATACCCAATTCTAAATTACAGTCAAATTAACATTCCAGTCTTGTAAACTTGACATTAGGAGGACTCCCAGTATTCTCTAGATGTCCAGTGACGGGGAGAAAACTTTCTTCAAAAGAGTACATAAGAACTTAATTCATGTGATATGAAATTCTGCTAGATCAAAAGAGGTATAAAGTGATTTAATAATAATTAAGAATAATTAAAGGTTGTTACATATTGCCCCCCAAAGATCACTTTATGTGTTTAAAAGATTATTCAAATACAAGGCAAGACTGATTGCCCTGTTCCAAAACACCTAACATGAGGTTTCCTTGGCCATTGGTTTAACAGTGGTTAACAGCACTAAGATTCTGCATATATAAAGAATAAGGTACTGATACAGTAGTACTATATGAACTAGATATTTGTACTTCATGTGGAAGATAACAAAGACATTATACTCAAACCTCAAGTTTGTCAGATTCCTCCTATTCCATGGTAAATGTATGAGACCTTCACTTCTAATGCCACTGTGAAGTCATATTTGAAGAGTCCAGTTCCCAAAGACGTAGAGGTTGTGGCAGTACTGCCCGTACTGCTGGTGAGTGAAAAACTTGAGTGCAAGCCCTGAGTCCAGGATTGCACATGTGGAGTTTTTCCCTATGAGTGGGTGTTGGTCTCATCCAGACTGCAGCCACTGCTGCTGTGGGGAAAACAGTGAATGCCAAGAGGCAGCACAGATGTCATCTTGAATATCTGCTTGGCACCAGAAAGAACAGACTTCTGCTGTTTCTTGTTAGAGGATTCTGCTCTCATTTATATGCCAAAATAAAACATCTGCATCCATATGCTGCACACTTGTTTCATGTTGCGAATATGGCATACTCAAGCATCCATGTGGCCTCAAACCTGGGGTTTTCAGAGTTGGCACCTACATGTTTTTAGTGAGCCCTGATAGTCAATTATGTTTGAATCCAGGAATCCAGACTGATTCAACCCTATCTACACCTATGAGTTACTTGCAAGAAAGAATCCTCCAAGGTTAATAGAAGTGTCATTCAGTAGTTTCCAAAAAGTGTATGTCATTAGTTAAGCTCAATTACAATGTTTCTTTACACAGAAAATGCTAGCACCCTGTCATTTGTTAATCCTTTTGATATTACACGATGTCCTTCACTCCTTTGGTAAATTAATTGTTTATGTGCAGCTTTTACAATTTTTTACAATTACTATCTGCTAAAGCATTAACAGATGTTTTGGACCATTCTCCCATAATTAACATTTGACAAACTGACAGCAATAGCTTATAGAGAGGGTTTAAGCCCAGCAAGTTTTAATATCAAATTGAAAACTATGCTGTCAGATTGTTTGTGGAATGCAACAGCTGACAAAGAAAATCTTTACTTTCCAGAAGTCTAAATGGAGTGACCACTGACTATGAAAGCATATGCAGTTGGTGTGTTCCTGAGAAAAAAGAAACAAGAGATGGAAACAAAAAAAAGCTGGATTTTAAAAGTGCAGTATTTCTTTGCTAAATCTTTTTTGATTTTATATCATCTCTTCAAAGCTATTATGTTGAATGGACATGGAGCCAAAGTTAGACCAAACCTTCCCTCCATGGATGGTTTTGCAGCATTTTCAGGGTACAAAAAGGTAAAACTTTGCATTAAACTTGTGAAAATCAAGAACAGCTCCATTTTTGCCAACTGCTCTCCCATGCACACACGTTTACCTGAAGAACAGTTAGAAGAGATATGTTACTGGCTTTACACAGTTGATCCCTTTGTTAACACACATGTAATTCCTGTGCTACCATAGTCCAAACACAGAAAGGCTTAAGCTACTATTAAGCTATGAACTCTGAATCTTTTGTTCTAAGCCCTGCTCATCAGTATTACTTTGTGTTAACAGCATTTACATCTGCAACAAAAGTATTAGCAAAGGACAAGTCATACTTTCTGCCTGGCAGCTGGAGACTTTAGGAACCCAACCCATTTTGCAAGTCACCAACTGTAATAATAAAATAAGTTCTATAGTTGGTCTTATGTGCATTTTTTACATCTCACACCTCCAAGGCCCTACACTTGAAACAGCACCCCCCCCAGCACCCAATGACTGCATGTGGATTATCTTACCCATTCCAAAAGGAATGAATGATTCTTTCTTAATTAGCTGTCCATTTTCATCCAGAAATCTTGATGGTTGAAATTCATCTGGTTTCTCCCAAATGTTAGGATCTCTGTGTACTGACCACAGGTTGGGCACAATCACACTGCCCTTAGGAATGGTATATCCCTGCAGCACTTGAAACAAAAGCACAGAGACAGAGATCTGACAAGTTGCTAGAAGTAAACATGGGAAACATATCACTAAAAAGACAACTAGAAGATGTCATAAAAATTATATCCATCCCTAGCAGTGGGTTGCAAATGCAGCAAAAGCTTAAGGCAAAGGTGATCTCTGCTACCCTGTTTGAGTCAGAATCACACAGGCCTGAGCAGCTGGAAAGACATCAAGTTACACCAACAGCTCCCTGCAGAGAAAAAGCAGCAGCAATTGTAAGAAATGCACTCTGCAGCATGCAAGTGCTGCAACCCAGTTTCCTCTTACTCCTGTGCTGTCATAGAGCCCCAGCACAGTCAAGGGACGGGTTTTGAACTGTTGTCACAAGAGGGTCTTGAAATTACTAGTCTCATTTCAGCTTGTTGCACCTCACCCTCCTGAAGCCAAAACAATTAAAAAAGATCAATTCAGTACTGGGTTTGAAAGCTGAGTATGACTATCTTACACTGGCTTTAGCCATTGCTCAGCAATAGATAAGCTGGAAAAATATGTGGAGGTCAATGGTATAAGCCTTTAACCAATGACCTGCTCTAAATTGATGTTTTCAGATCTCTGTGTCAGAATGCCAAAAACAACTCTGCTGTTTCAGGTACAAAGGTGGAGTCTCAGCTGCCAGCTCCAACTAAGCATATCAGTCAATACAGGCTGACCCACATAAAAGAAATTGCTCTAAATTAGGATGTTAGGTCAGATATGCTGCTTAAATAGAGGAGTATCTTGAGGCCACCTACTCTCTAAAAATGGCACTTTATGTACTTGGGTTACAGGTCTAACACATAAATGAGGTCTTTGTAAATTATCACTACATGTCCCATCAGATCTTCATCCCCAAAAGAAATACTGTAAGTAAGAAGTCTCTAGAAACACTTACGAGCAGTTTCTGAGGCCATTCGAGGAATAGAGAGGGGAACAACTGCAGTCATCCTCTGCACTTCCATAATGGTTGCCTCTGTGAAGGGCATTTGAGCCTTGTGAGCAAGCGAGGGAACTTTGTCACGTCCTAGAACTGCTTCAACTTCTGCATGAACCTTCTCTATTCAAAGGGAGCAAGAAAAATAAAAAATTCAAAAGATGCACAATATGTCAGGAGACATCTTCCCAATATCATCTGTCTATGCTTCATTGTTTACACAGATTTCTCAAAAATTACTTCAAGATGTGATCCCTAGCTGAAATAACTATGTCAGCATGAGCTTTAAGAAGAGGCTCAGTTAAGAAGAAAACAACCAAGCACAATTGTCAAAAATAAAGCTACTGAGATGACAGACATTGCTCACACTTCTGCATTGGAAGAGTACAGGAAAAGTTCTGTGGTAATTCCAAATATATCCATAATCTTACTTTAAGAGGTTAATTATATATATATATATATATATGCAGTAATTTGAATGGTGAAAACATCAAGCTTCTGCCACGCATTAAAAACCTTAAACAAAAGGAGAAGTGTGTGCAGTGCATGCCTGCACACAGAGAGATTGAAAAGCTTTTCACGCAGCTGCTTTAGACACTTCATTCTGGAGCAGGAATTCTGGTGCTGTTACTGTAAGTGTAGAAGCCATTTAACTTGTTCTTTCCACTTCTTACTTTCTATTCACAGAACCTAAACTCAGCTATTTCCCAGTTCCCCCAAAAGGCAGCAGCAGATGCTCCTTTCCCACACAGCCCTTCTGCAAAGGAAAAAAAAGTTAATGAGCTAATTTCCTTTCTCATTCATGGGAAGGATAAACTGTCAAAATATTTGTTTGTCCCTTTCATCTCTCAAAAGACTCATCATGCAAGTAGTTCTCTTCACAGAAGTTTCCAAGATGCAAGATTTGCTTCATACATGCAGGATGATATACCTTCTCTTACAGGTAACTTGGAATCTGGTTACACAGCAAAAGACAACCTTGAAAGAGGAGACCTCAAAACTAACCTTTAATCAAAAATAATAAGTCAGTTTTCAATTTTCACCTTTTGTATTCTGAATACTTTGTGGTTGTCCTGCCTGCCTTTTCCAATCAGGCTGCTGATACTCTTGAGTTTTTGCACTTTTTTCTTAACAGTGACACAAGATTAAATGAAAGCTCAACACAAAAAAAGTGTCCTAGTTTCCCAAGCAACATCCAGAATTGCTGCCTCAACTGGGTTCAGTGAACAGCTGCTGCCACCTAATGGTGTCACTAGTAAAAGAGTTCATGTATGAGGAACGTTAAAAAATACAGCAAGAGATGTGCTGCTGATGGCATGGCCCTCCAGAATTTTCTTTGTGAGGGGTTGCTACTTTTATTAGTGACACACCATATCCCAGTATTCAGGTATGCACAGTAATTTAAACAAAGTATTCAACATAAAAAAATAAAATTAAGGAGACTGTCTCATGCCAAATGTCACATCAGTGCTTCATCTCAAACAACTCATTTGTTCAGTTAGTAAAGAAATGCTGAACTATACAGAAAGCAGCCAAACTGCTGCTCACATTGCTAAGTGCAAAAACACAAACTTGAGCAGTTCTCCACTAACAGCATGATATTTGAACTACTCCACAACTTTTCACGTATTTAAAAATCTCACAGATCTTCAGAAGTTAAGGACCAAAACAAAGTCAGGGAACAGAACAAACCAAATACTCCACATGGCCTCAGCACATTGTCTCACACCAATCCTTTTCTTTTTCCATGTAAAAAGCAAAACTGGTTTCCAAAGAGAAAAAGGCTATTCCAGATTTTTTTCCCCTGATAGCCTTTAGCTTGCCTTTCCATGTCTGCAAGCAACATTTGCTACTGCTAAAAGTTACAAAATTCAGGTATTTTCTTTAGGGAAAAAAACATGTCAATATGTTTAAGAGAAACACATTACCAGAGTCAAAAAAAGAGGCCCCTACCTTACTCCAAGGCAAACAGGATACATAAGGAACAGGATACTAGAAGTAAGAGAATCACATTCCATAGCTAAGTGATACACTCTAGACTGTTGAGCTTATTTAGATTACTCAACAACAGCCACATAAGGAAAGGTGGAATTGGAGAGAAGCAATAAAAGAGATCACCAGAAGAAGGAAAATTGACCAGCACACAGACATACAGTAACACGCAGGTAGGAAAGAGGTTAAAAAACCCAAACCAACACAACACTCTTCCAGATCTCATTTGTGTAATTTAGAATATATCTAATTCATGTAACTGCATATCAAGTCAAGCAGTGATAACATGTAGACATCAAAAACAGAAGAATAAGCCTATGCAATAAAAGTTTATTTTGCAGTTGTCCCAGTGAACTCTCTCTTCCACGTATTGAACTGATGCCCCATTGTGCAATCTTTGGTCAACAAACTGGTTGACTTGGTGCAATAAACTACAATCTCGACCTATTTAGAAGTGATTATTCTAGACAGATCAGACTCTGAGGGTAGATGAGCCTACTCAGGGTCATAACCCACTGAGTTTCAAATACTTTTAAAGTCAGAGATTCTATTAACTCTCAGGAAAATCCATTGCACTCCTTTGCCATCTTCAACAGGGTAGTTTTTTTTCCTAGTATCTGATTAGAATTTTCTTGTTGTAGACTGTCTCCGCTGCTTCTCTCCCTTCCACTGCACACCTCAGGGGAGACTGTCCCCATCTTCTCAGCATCTTCCAATCAGGTAGCTGTAGACAGCATAAGGTTTCCCCTCAGTCATCTTTCCCTAAGAATGAGCAAGATCAATTCCTTCTGCCGCTTCTTTGGGGTCACGTGTTCCATGTGTCTTACCCTCCCACCCCCTGCCATCATCAACCACCTACCCAAGGTTGACCATTGAAACGACCACTCAAGACTCCTGGGGAGAGGCCTGTCCAAAGACACTGACCAGCTGGTGCTGTGCACTTGTGCCAAGTCCAGTTTGCTTAAACTGTCTCTGATTTGATCTTCCTCTACAGCGGGTAGGGTTTCACTTCCCCAGTCTCTGCCACTAGGCTCAACAACCTCCCTGCTCAGAAGGCATAAAAGCAAACCTTACCACTATGGATCTTACATATCTTGTATCACTGCTATATGCCTGGAATGCCACAATTGCCAAAGTTTCTCAAACACGCTAAAGTTCCCTGGAATTATTTGGAAAAGATTTGCCCCAAAACAGAAGAAATGCACAGATTAAAAGGCCATTTATTACTTAGTATCACTAACCTAGAGGTCTTCAAAGCACAGGAGGATAGAAGATGTCTGATTACATACCAGCCTTTCAAATTGCACATACACACATTGTTTGCACTTCAAATGATATCTGCACTGTCGCTGTTTGCTTCTGTTTCTGAGCATCCATCTAGAGCTTTACAGTCTGGAATAAATCACCTAGAATAAAAATAGTCTTACCTTGTACTTCTGGGTAAAGGGACATGTAGAGCAGGCACCACAGTATTGTGTTGGAAGTAGTATCTGTGCCTGCAATGAAGAGGTCACCAATGATAAAAAATAGGTAGTCATCATTAAAGCTGCTCTCCTTGTTGTTCTTCTCCTCTTCCGCATGGATGAAGTACATATCAATGAAGTCCCTGGGATTTGCTGCATCCAGTGTGTCCCTGTGCTGTGCAATTATTTTCTTCAGAAAAGCAGTAATATCTAGTTCTGTTTGCCGAAGCTCCCGGAAAGGCCCAAAGGGAAGGTAGTAGAGCCAAGGGCAGATGTTGACCAGGATCATGTAGCTGTTCACGCTCAGCTCCAGTGCACGGGCCATGTTCTTCAGCATCGTCTTGAACTCAACATCTTCGTAGTTAAAACGCTTGCCAAAGGCCATGGAACAGATAACATTGGACACTGCGTTGCGAATGATTGGAAAGGGATTAAATGAATCCTTCCCATGCTTCAGCATTTCTTCCTTTATGAAGTTCAGCTCCTCAATGATTTTAGGCTCTAAGCTAAGTCTCCCTACTCCAAAATGACGCAATGTTGAGAGAGAGAATTTCCTCTGTTGCTTCCAGACAGGACCGTATGGTGCAAAAATAACACCTGAAAAAGAAAGGAAGAGTCTGAAACCAAGATGCCCTATTTTCAACAAGAAATAATTATATAGACCTGCAACCCAAGACCCAGAAAAGAGGGAAATGATACACAATAAATCTATCCCAAGCACTAGGCTAGGAGCTAGAGGAAGAACACAAGGTTCTTTATAATAGCTTTGGGAAATCCTGTTCCTCCTTTTCCCAATCCATGAAATTAATATTGAAGTTACATCAGTAGTTTTATTAGTCTTTGCAAGATGGATGGAGAAGAGGTATTGTAAACGCTTCATTACAAATTATAATTTTTTAGGAACTGTTATTCTGGGACATAGATTAGCTATTGCCTTTTCTCCTCAGTGTCCTGAGACAGGAATTCCTTCAGCGAAGCAGAATAGAAGACATTAAAGCACAATCTAGTTTGGATTTCTTTTCGCCTTCATGTTATACAAACTTCTCAATACTTTTTGCATATGTTTCTATTACAAGCAAGGTTTTTCTTTGTTGTAATAAAAATAAAGGATACACATGCTCTGAACGAACTGGGAAGGTAAAGACAGGTTCAGAGCCACTTGGCAAAAACCTGCTTGATTTGCATCTCAACAGTTTTGATGCCTCCAGGCACTTGTTCTGCATGATTGTGTCATTATGAAACACCATTTAAATTAAATCCCTTAGCTTCAAGTATAACTATTGCTCACTTACAAACAGAAATATCTCTTCTGTTGAATTAAAAGACCACGCCAAAGACACCGCAGGGTGACAAACACACAACCTGCTATATCTAATGTACTCCATGGTTAACTTGGTGTCCTCAAGTAGGGTAAGTGAAAAAACAGGCATATTCGGGGTTGAATTTGGCCAAGAACCAACATTTCCAAGGTTTGTGGCTGGGGTGGAAAAGAAACATGGATTTCTTGGAATAAAACAAAGTTATCACTATTTCTATCCCACAACAAATATCTCAAAACCAGACTATATATCCACAATCTGTTCCCCTTTCTGTCATTAGGAAAGTAAGTTTTAGGATTCAAATACTTTCATAAAATAAAACCAACCTATTGTCTTGAATGTAAAAAAGACTCTCGTAGTGCCCCAGAAAAGCTGACACCAACAACACACCTTCCCACAGCCAGAGTCTCTCCAGCAGTCCTGCACAGGGCGTGGTTGCATAGCATGGTATTTTCTGACATCCTGAAACCTCAAATTGCTGCAGAATACTAATAACTGATTTGCAAATAGGGAAAGAATAACACAGGAGACAGACTGAGGAGGAAGAAGAGCACGAAGTTATAGTAACAGAGATAAGAGGAGAAAGCAAACTGTCAACTGGATCACTACTAAGCTACACTAACAGAATAGTCCTTTGCTGTTTTCAAAGAAAATCTCTGCCTCCCCTGAAAAGTCAAGGTACCCAGCATACACAACTCTACTCTTTAAAAAAACCAAAACAACCCTAACCAAAAACTCCCACAAACAAACTAAAGCAAAATAAAACAAATAAACAAAAACCTGAAGAAAATACAATAATGAAGCAACAAGAATTAACCAGGACTTCATGCTCATCGCAGAAGGCTAATTCAACGAACTGATAGTGAAAACCTTTCAATACAACCAACAAACTCATAGAACCAGAGTTCATTTTCTTCTTCTTTTTTACATGAAATAAATTTAAATCCTTACAAGAAGCAAGTTCTCGCAACAGCTAATTTACCCTCCCTCCCCCCCCATTTCTTTCTGCTAGCTTTAGTGTTACTGCAATACTGGGAGCATTGACCAACACAGAATTCATGACCTTCACTAACACTTAACTTCTGTGTTGCCAGATGTTCACATCTAAATGTGCACAGGGCAGGGCTAAAATGGCAGACAACCACTCAGACTCCATCCCCTCTAGAGATTGAGTCACCCCTACCTCTCATAGATATAAAATACAAAAACGCTTTACTAAAACAAAACCACCAAAGTCTACATTTTCCCCCAATCTAGTATTTCTCTTCCCACAGATGTATGTGCAGAAGCCTTCAATTAAGACTTAACTTCTACCTTCTCCCTTAAATTCTCATGGAACTTCCCATGCAGCCAAGGAGGGCTCCCTTCTTTACTAATCAAGTAGTTGAAATACAGTATTTGCCATTTCTGATACTTCTACTTGCTCTCCCCCAGGTACAATATTCCATATGCATGTTACACACAATCAAGCCACAAAGCTAAGATAAGCCCTGCTTTCTTCCATACCATACCCAGCAGGTTAGCTCAGGGTAAAGACAAAACTACGACAGAAAATGTAGCTTACAAGAAAATAGCCCTGTGAGTTCATACCCTGTAGCTTGCTTATAGAACAAAGATATAGAAACTCAAAATGAACACTTACTGACCCAAAGCGTCCCAGTGCTGTAGTACCCAAGTTGTGACCAGCAGATCTGAAGTTACCCATCATCCTGCTTTTATCATTTCCTTTCCTAGTACATACTAACACAACTGCCTCTGTCCTGACCTGCAGTAAAGTCTCACCACAAACTCCTGAACCTATGTTCAGGAGGCTCTCAGACCAACCTTCAGAGGCCTCCAGTTTGAGTGTTGTAACCCACTGCCCTCCTCCATGAGCCATAGACAAAAAAGAAAGAGTAGTTAACACAAATGTAGCATCACAGATGTTCAGTCATCTCCTTCATGCTACCACTAAACCCAAGCCAGCCCAGTGAGAGCACCTGTAACTTACACTGGCTTTTAGAGAACCAGCAGCCCGCACTGCCCACGTTCACTGACTTTTCCCTTTGTATACTCAAAACACACCACCCCTGTGGTTCATTCTACAACACTCCCATATCTGTGGCAATTCAACGTGTTGCACCAGTGAACATAAGCGCTACACACCAGATCAGGATGTTTTATGGACCACTGGGCAGCCCTCATGTAACAGTCCTCGTGCCTGAGCGCAGTTACGGTGACCTTCCAGATAAAACTAAATGTAAAGCAATGTAATGTCCCTGCTGCAGCGCAACACAGGCAGGCACGGTCCCTGCACTTGGCTGCAGCACGCTCTGGCTCTGGACAACAGGCTCCTTACACAGTCAACTTCCCTGGAACATCCACTAGTGAAAGCAGCTAATTGCCCTTGCTAACCTTGGGGCACCATGTTCAAAAAAGCCTGTCAGAGAACATGAAACAGGAAACACACAGTATTTAAGGAAAAAGAAATCCACCACAAGCTTAAACATGCAGTTTTACAGCACCGCTAAAATTATCTAACTCCTCTTCCCCTTTCCTCCCCCAGTTCTTGCTAGAAGTACTGTACCTAAAAATACTCACGCACAATAACGTGCCAGCAATATCTATCTCAGATCAATATAATTTATAATTTATTTTTTTATTTTTTAAACCAAGTTCAGCAATGGTACCTGATCACATTTTAATAAACATGATCTAGGTCTCTTGCTTTCCTCTTATCCTTACAAGGGTAATTCTGGTTCACTAAAAACAAAACAAAACAAAACAAAACAAACAAAAAACAAACACAAAACCCAACAACAAATTAAAGATAAGTTGATAAAAAATTAAAAAAGATAAGTTTCACAGCAAGCTAGCACACTAACAAGCCTTCTGGGCTACACTTCCTAACTGGAAATGGAAAATTAGTTTTCCACAAACACCGACATCCATAATGACCTAAAAACAGAACATGAAGAAATTCTAACTGCAGTATTGCCAATATGCATTTACACTCTCCATGCCCTCTTCTTGCAAAAGCTAGTAAACTCTCCTTTGACCTGGAAAAAAACCCCAACAAAAAACAAAACAAAAAAACAACAACAAAACAAACAAAAAAAACCCAAAAAAAACCCCAAACAAACAAAAAACCACAAACCCAAATATACTCAATAAGTTCTGACAAGCAGAATAATACACCTGCAAACATCTCAGCAACAGCAGTTTGCACACAGGCAGCACAGACTGCACAGCTACAGGACTCCACAGAAACCTGCTCTTTGCCATCGTTACCTTGGTAAGAACTGGGGAAGCACTCATTTTTGTACCACTGCCAAAGTTTGGAAATTTCTTCTCCTGACACGGTCAAAATCAGAAACCCCCTACGTGACAGACCAGCAGTTCCTTAAACCCCTGCACAAATGCCAGTCACAGAATCAATTAGGTTGGAAAAGACCTCTAAGATTGAGTCCGATTTATGATTGAACACCACCATGTCAACTAGACCATGGCACTAGGTGCCATATCCAGTCTTTCCTTAAACACCGGTAGGGATAGTGACTCTACCACCTCCCTGGGCAGCCAATTTCAACGCCTAATCACCCTTTCTGTGAAATTCTTCCTAATGTCCAACCTAAACCTCCCTTGGTGCAGCTTGAGACCATGTCTTCTTGTCCTACCACTGGTTGCCTGGGAAAAGAGGCCAACCCCCACCTGGCTACAGCCTCCTTTAAGGTAGTTGGGAGAGCGATAAGGTCCCTCCGAGCCTCCTCTTCTCCAGGCTAAACAACCCTAGCTCCCTCAGCCACTCCTCGGTTCCTTTACTGTGAACAGAGCTAAAGGGATCAGGCATTTCAGTCATCCGGAGGTGGGCTGTGGTGCACAGCACAGCACTGCCCAGCTCACGGGGATGCTGTACGTCCACCTCAACGGAGTGCGAGTTACTCTCTGCGTGCTTTCCGTCAGCAGCAGGTGAAGGACACACGCTAGGAGCAAAAAGCAAGTAAATGGTTCACTCTGCAATTCACAATACTTATTAATAAGTTTTGGCACAGCAGCCATGAGCCCCGCTCGCAGCTCCCGCTCGGTATCATCGCCCTGGCCACCCATCAGGGTACGACAGCTCCCCGAGCGACACCCGCTGGGGCGCCCCCAGGCGCTTACCCTTGTTGTGGGTGATCATGAGGACGATGGGCACGGAGGGCCGGTCGCTGAACACCTCCGCCTTCTGCACCAGCGCCTCCCGCACCGCCTCGAAGGTGTTGAGCACGATGAAGGGGCGGCTGCCCACGAAGAGGCGGAAGACGCTGCCGTACATCTTCGTGAGGCTGGTGAGGAAGACATGCGGAGAGAAGGCGGGGGAGACGCGGCCGCCGTCCCGCACCTCCACCGCCCACCGGCGCAGCAGCGGCGGCGGCAGGAGGGCGAAGGCGAAGTTGCCCACGAGCGGCCAGGGCGCGGGGCCCGGCGGCAGCCCCGACAGCGCCCGGGGCCGCCGCCGCAGCAGCCAGTAGCAGCCGAGCCAGCACAGGGCCGCCAGCAGCAGCTCGGTGGCGGTGGGCGGCCGCAGCAGCCACGTCCAAGCCGCCGTGCCCGGCGCCGCCATCTCCCCGGGCGGTGGGACCGGCGCGCTGGCCCCGCTGCCGGCGAGTAGCGGTTTAAGATGGCGGGGGCGGGCAGGAGGCGAGGCCCGCGGCGCCCTGACCCCGTCCCGCCGGGCCTGTGGGCGGGGAGGGGGGCCGGGCTCCGGTACCGCCGCCGCCGCCTTCAGCGGTCAAAAGCTGGCTCGGTGCTTGGACACAGTCGAAGTTTAAGATGTCGTTAAACATAAGCACACATGTTCAGCTAATGGCGGAAAAAAAAAAAGAGATTGTTCCCCACAACCTCATAGGACTTGCTTCCAAACGCTCCTTCTGCAAGCATCCATTTTTAGTGGTGTTTAGAAGGAAACAGAATACAGATGATCCTTCTTCCCCCTTCTCCAATAGAAAAGCTGGGAGTTCTAAGTAAATAGACCAAAATGTTCTGTTTTCATAACCAAGCACTAACCTAGAAATATGTCTCAGCTCTAGGTTAAAGCAACTGCTTGGCAAACGCAGAACAGCACAGAGGCTTATCAGACCTGAATTTTAAGTTTAGAGGAAAAATAATTTTAGTTCTTTCCCACAAATAAATAAATAAAACAAAAAACCCAACAAAACAAACAAAAAACCGAACAACAAAAAACCCCACAGACACCACCCCTCCACACGCACACCACACAAACACCTCAACACCCCAAAAAACCCAAACCTATCCCCAACTGGTTTTCAGGGTAACTTCCCTCGCTCTGTAGAATACACCTTGGTGCACTTTTTCCTGCTGATCAACAACGAAATGTAATCCCTACAAAGGTAATCAGATGATGAAAATGCTACTGTATGGTGTTCCAAGCCATTTGCTGCAGCATCAGCGATTTCAGGAAGTGCTCTTGGTACCCCCTCACTAAAAGAGAAGAGCACTGTGGGCAAGACACAAGTACACCATCTTTAAAGTGATCCCCCCCAAAAATAAAAAACCGCAGGGAACAAGAGGTGCTTATCCACTACAAACAGTGTTGTTAAAAAACTTCTTTTTAAATAGTTAAGCATTCCGTAAAGATAGTGACAAGTGGCTCATAAAATAGTGGCTGAACTGTATTAAAAAGGTTTTATTGCAATTTTACAGAAGTTACAGGAATTTTAGAAATACATAAAGCTTCAAATGGTCAAGGTCAGCTTTCCTCCAAGCAATTAAGGCAACTGTCTATTTAATCTAAACAGCAAATGGACATTTTACTAGCCATGGATTAAACAAAATAAAAAAAACTAAGAACACAGATTTAAATTAGCAGAACAGAATGCATCTTTTTTATATATTTGGTAGAAATTCAGTGGTTAATTACAACGTACACCAATAAAATGCAACTATTAGAAAAAATATAAAAAGAACAGGTGAAAATTTAGCTGAACTAAAGACATCTTAAATCTGAGTCTCAAGAAAATTTTAAATTCTACAGTGTGAAAATAAGAAGCTAAGCTATTCAGCACAGCTGAAACACATTACTGGTTTTGCCCATTTTCTTTATAGAACAGTAATCTAGTCTCCCTTCCCTCTTAGTCTAGTCAAGAAGTTACACTAGATAAAAAAAAAAGCCTGCCTTCCTTCTGTATGCAATTGAAAGATTGGTTTCAGTGGTGTATGACCAATTCAAGCTTGTCCAGAGATTAAATTCCACATTAATTTTGATAAAAATAAGATTACTTTCATACTTTTAAATGAAGTTAATGATCAAATGTATATTTTGCTCTAGCATATCAGTACATAAATGGATGTTTCACATTAAAATAATAGCTATTGCAACATTAAAATCCATTTTTTTCAATTTAAATTAGTACTAAATAGCTTCTTTATAGAGCATAAAATTAACAGCAAAACAATACGCATGTACTAATATTCTGCTTACCCCAAATAACTACATATACAAGTTTTAGCACTATAATGCTTCCCATGGAAATCATTCCTCCTCAGTCCTAGTAGCAGTGTAATAAAAACCCACCCTCCCTTGAATTCCGCATTTAAGGAAAAACCATTCTTCAAACTCTTTTACCTCAAATTGAGTAATCAAAGCATTTGGTGACTTTACTTTTAACAGGTAAAAAACCCCTCCATGTAACAAACAAAAATCCCCATCAGAGTAAAGACTGTCATTAAAACAAGCATTTGAAATAGAATAGTTCAAAGGAACTTATTTTTCTTTAAAGATAACTAAGTTACAGAGTTAAGGCCCAAGCAGAAACAGTAGAAATTTAATTAACACAGTAAACTCTCAAAAGAAACATAATATTCTTTTCTCAAACTTTGAATCCTATCAACGTTTATGACTATTGAGCAGCTATTCTCTACAGTTACTAAGTTAGCACCCATTCTCTTCAAGTATGGGCCGTGGTTTTATATGCTTTATTTACATTTGCAGGCAACTTTTGGATTTTTTATTTCCACAGGCACTTTATTCATTAAAAAACACTCTCCTTGCCAAAAGAATATTGAAAATATTTGAAATCTCTGAGTTAGACTAGTGCACTGAAACATGTTTTTGTAACACAGCAAATGCTAAGGCTAAAAAAACACAGTCAAGTGCATGTCACATGCTCGCAAAGGCTTTGTTTTTTGCAGGGCATTCAAACCTGCAGCCATTTATCTCTTTATATTTCTGTAAATATTGCACTTTTTTTTTGTAAATTAAAAAACAAAAGCCCTTTTTCTCTGAAGCATCTAGTAATTAAGAGATAGGAAAGTTATATTTCAATGTGGCTTAGGACTGTTACGGATGACTTTGTTCTATCTTTGGCTCTTCCACGTGTCCTACTATTAAAGCAGGCACTGAGACAAGTAGCAAGACACAATCTAGACTATTGCTACTAGATTATCCCTCTTCACTCAAGAAAACCCCCAGCAGCTCACCCTGATTTTATCTCAGATGATGGGTTTCTGCTTTAAATTAAGTTACTTTAGCCATGGAATATTCTTTGCATTGACACAGAAGTTCCATAAAATAGATCTTTTACAAGCCCATATTCCTTGACATGCAAGGTGTATGTGATTCAAGAGAACTTATTACAGTATATGAAAGAGAACAGTTTAGGGACCAAAACCTCAGAGCACTACTACTTTAGAGCAGAGGAATGTGCTGCAGTGTTCCAGGCTGCACCCTGCTGACTCACCAGGGTGTACCTGGACATGGCATCCACTCTGCCAGGTTCACGTGTCCATATCAAATAGAGCATATTTATTTCAGAGCTGATTACAGTAGGCTTGCCGTATGTGTCACAGGCAGGCACTTTTACAACTGCAAGTTGACATGTAAGGGGCCTTTAGAAAGAAACAGAGTATTGGTATTCTCCATGGGTAGAAAGTGTAGGTACTGCTGCCCAAAAATGCCTCCTGAAAAGATTGGGAAGTGCACTGTCCTTCATTATATACAAAAAAATTCATAACCAAAGGCAGGGAGGGAAGAGAACAACAACTTCTGCAACAGAAGGCACAAGAGTTTTTTGTCTTAAGAGAACGTTGCTTGTGAAGCTTTCAAACAAAGCTAGAAAGTTACATTGCTGTTCCACAATCTAAATAATCTAGTTTAACGTCCTTTAATGGGTTTTTATAATGTCCTACAATGAACAGCCTTGATAATTACATCAAATTTCAATTCTGTTCTTTAGATATGGTTACATGGTCATGTTCCTTCACAAGTTTGTTTTTTTGAAATTTCAGCAAAAGGTGGATCTACCCTGCATAATTGGTGTTCTCCTGCTGCAGCTTTTGTGCATTTCGCATCCTCTCTGTCTCTGAGGCTTCAACAATGATGATGAAGCCAGAGGATGATTTTCTTTAAACTACTAGCTTGCACCTTAATCCTGCCAACACAACTCTTGTATTTCATACTGAGTTTCAGAAGACTAGCTATCTTAAGAATGTATGAAAACTTAGACTTGGACATGTAGTTTAGACCAACATATACACTCCTAATGTTTTCCTGCATTGAAATACTTACTTTGTTTGCAGTTTTTATATAAAATAGAAATAGAAAAGGGTCATTTATATTAAAAGCATCTGGAACGGGCTCAAAAAGTAGAGAAATTTTGCTTTATTGAAAAGATGTCAAAACAGCTTTCCTTAGTGTTCATGGGTAAGAAGAGAATACCAGCTCTTAATAATATCTGAGATCATTAGCACCATAAATGGATATAGGTTTCTGATTTTTAAAGGTATGGGTGGTCATGTAAGTAGTCCAAAGTATTGCATTTGTCAGTACACAGGCTGACTACAAAATATTTCTACTTGTATGTGCCAACTAAACAACATAAGACAACTTCTTTAACATGTTTTTACCAAATTCATGGCCAACAATGCAAATGATCATGACAGATAGCACCTTTGGAGACAAAAGCTAAAAGATGCTCATGTTATTGCTTTTTTTTTAAAGTACAGCTAGTGCAATAGGGTTTTTTGGGGTTTTTCTTTTTTTTTATACAGTGAACAGATTGCAATATCTTACAAATCACAACTCTAGCTCTAAGTCTCTCTTGCACGCATACAGCAAACCACAACACTCAGTTACCTAACCAAAATAGCTGACATCAGCTATAAAGTGTCATCCTGAAAGTTTCACAAGATAAAAGTCAACTCTTGCTAACTGTGAAAAATTTATGTAAAAATGAGGTCCAGTTTGCAAACCTTAGTGGAAACTACAGCACAAAAGGTCTTTAAGTATTATCATTTGTTATTGTAGCATTATGCTGTGCAGTGTTTGCAGAACTGGACCCTAAAGCCATAAAAACCTGCCATTTATTAGCTCCTTATCGTGCACGCATTACAGCATTCCTACATTATCAGGTAGGGTTCCTCAGCAGCCAACAGCTTTTCTTGCCTAATTTTTCCAAGGTTGGATATATAGCTCCAACCTATGTACAGAACTACAGATTCAAGCTAGGAGAAATCATGCAAGAAAAGCTGTCGGCCAATGAGTATGAAAACATGTTGCAGTTAAAAGCAAAGTCTCCTGCAGTGTTTTTACATAAGTCTTTACAGTTTTCAAAGTCACATGGAAAGCACGAGAACATCAGCCATCAGACCATTATTTCTGCTTTTACTTTCAGGTTCCTTGGTATGACCCTGACTTCACGAAGCTGCCAGAACTCATCTTTTTCACATCTCACACATGCTCTCCTGAATCAGGAAAACAAACACAAACAAACATACTGAACATTTAAAGAGCAAGAACTGATTCCTGAGAGAAAAAAACCAAAGTATGTCCTAGCATGTTAGGGTTTGTATTTAAAAATACTTTCAAGTCTCAAATTGTGCAAAGATGTGTCTGACAAGAATGCCTTTTGGCTTTAGGGTTAATTACAGAGTCTTCTCAAACGTAAATCCTACTCTTCTGTATTGAGCCATTTAGAAGAGGCAGACATAGTGAGACAGGAGCCCAGATCAGCACAGGCTTAAGTGTAAGCAGCATTTTGAGTGGCAACAAATTATGAAAAAAGTGGAATGCAAACTCAGTTTTTAAAGAAATAAAGCACTCATAACAAGTTGGTCAAAATGTAAGAGGGGCTGGAGTTCAGTAATATTGTTCATACACAAACACTTCAATGGTAAAGGTAAAAGTAAGCAGGGAGATAATTTCCTCTTGATATTCTCAGCGCTCCTATCATCTCGAATGAAAAAAAACCCAGTAATTTAAAAAGCAAACAGACCCATTCATTTTAAATGGAACTCACATGCTTGAAGTAACCCCAAATTTTATGCTCCCTTGAATTAGAACACAGCTCTCCAATGACTGGTTTTACAGAGATCTGCCTTTTCAGCCCTTTTATACTTTTCTGATTTGCAAGTGACCTTCACTACACTTTTTAGCTATTGCCACCTTTGGTACTGTGCTCTCAGTCTGAAAGGAGCTCAAAATGACAAGCCAAGATGGTTCACAGCCTACTATGTAAGTACAACCTAGTTCACCTTCCCAGAGAAGCCTCCGTACTGAATCCAACACTGCACATGCCACAGGGGCCCCTCTCTGCACACATGTGCCTGCACGGTGCCTGGGTGCCCACCTGCTCAAGATGCTTTTACTTCAGACTAGTTTTTGACTGCTTCTTCTTTTAATTAAAAAAAAAAGAACAAAAAACCAAAAAACCAAACCAAATAAACCCCCTCCCCCAAAGAAACCAAAACCAAAAGTCAAATATTCAGCAAAGTTACTTTGCGAAAAGTCATCTCAATTGGCACAAATGAGATTCTTCTGTAGTAATTCTTTGCAGTGTCACAAATGCTAACATCTTAAAAACCTTGCTATGCTCAGGGCAAATGCAGGAGCTGACATAATTATACAGGCACAGCTTGAAAGAAGAGTATTTCTCCTAGAAGAAACCCATGCATAGACTCCTTAAAAACATCTTAGGCACTGTATACAATGGATCTACTTTTTTTTCATTGGTATTTACCAGAACTAAAACCAGTTATGTTCAACCATACAGCAAGCAAAGGACAAAAATAGTCACTCCTCATCTAGGGGAAGGACTGGGCCAACCACTACAGAATAATATGAAAAAGTGTGAACACTAAGTATAATAGTATAACACAGCATCTTTTTTCAGCTATAGTACAGATAAGACTGCAGGTAGCATGCAGTCAATATAATTTTAGTTCAAAAGTCACACACTGCTCCTTCCAGCAAGAGAGCTGCTTTGCTCTTCTCTCCTACCTAGTTTGCATCTTAAAGGTTAGTGCACAGCAAAGAGCCACAGAAAACAAACTGCTAACTCTTTGCTAAACTCCAAATCCTTTGTAATTAAAACATTTTCACTGAAAACAATTAAAATCTTCCTGAGTTTTTCATCACCAATTTACATTAGGAGAGAAGGAATCTTCAACACCAGTATTTTAGATACACATTAGAGACTGCCCAGTATTGTTACTCCATCTTAAAACATCATTCAGGCACTGAGTGTTTTGTTCAGAAAGATGAGTTCAGAACTAGAATGTTTCCCTACAATACACAAGCTATCTGTATCTAGCCTGACATTCTCGTGTGCTGCTTTCTAGGTTAATAAGACTTAATCAAACAGTTAAATCCATGGAAACTTAAGCCAACTAGAAAAAGCTTCAGTATGTTTTAAGCATTGCAGCACTTTGTTCTTGTTTTAGAAGCTATTAGTGAGAGCTTGAAGGAACAACTCACAAAAAATTGCTAATTATATTTAAGTATTTTAAAATCTCCAAGCATCTCTCAGACTTGCGTTTTATTTTTACACTAAGTTATGAATGAGAACCAGCACAGATACACAGCTGTACTGTAGAATGAAGTACTTAACATTGCCTATTTCCTTAAAGGCTTTTTTTTTCAGCACTATTACACAAAAAAACAATTTATTTCTACATTACTTAGAAGTTAGGTGTAGTTTTAGCTCAATTTCGTGTAAAAAGCAATATATGATCACCATCTACTTCTTTGTTTTCATCTGTCTTTTTCTTGTAAATACTAGAACAAAAGCCTTTGTCCTGTTTCACAGCACTTCTTTTTGGACACTGGGAAGCATAATAAAGTAGCATATGAAGGCTTACTTATAAGCAAAGTTACTTCAGTGACATGCTAGGATATTTTTCTCATGTGCACTTAAGCAGCAACACTCATTTGAGTGGAGCCCAACAGAAGTATTTATTTTTAAGATCCCTTTCCTCAGTAACTGAATTTAAGATGTTGATTGTACAGTGGCTTGTATAGAATGTTTCAGAAGTGTTCAATCTTACAGTATCACTCTAATTTTATGTGTTCATAGAAGAGTTCTGGCTAAGTCCAAATCATGGGTATTGTAAAAATATCAAGATGACAATGGAGTTAGTTAACTAGTAGTTAAGTCTACTAGTAAGGAAAAATGGTTTCAGTGCATCTGATAGATTGGACATGTTTCCAAAATTACCTCATGAATCTTTAAGATTCAAGGTTTATAAGTTAAAAAAAAACCCAAACAAAACAAAGAGCTATGGAAAAGTTCATTTAAAGTAAATGGAAAGGCTTCACTTTGCACTGCACTTTATGGACCCGTCTCCAGAACTGTAAATCATACTTCACATCTACTGAACTGAGCAAGAGAATTCAGGTCAGTACCAAACAACTTACCATAAACTGTCTAGCCAGACACTAACGATGGGAGAAAGCCATACCTTGAACAGATTCCGATTTAAGACACTGGTAAGTGGATTTGCAATAATCCAATTAAGAGATTGCTCTCTCATATCTTAGAAGACTTCCCAGTTCTGTCCCTGTTACTGAACTTATTTCTCTATTACATGAAGGTAGTGCACCTTAGCATATACAGTCTTGATTTATTTTTTTTTTTAGTTTCCTTCTCCCTCACCCTTTAAGGAGGGAAGCAAATGCAGTACTTGAGTTCATAGCAACGTTTAGCACAGCTATTTTTGCTACTACCCCACCTGTAGCAATCTTTCCAAGAAAACTGCAATGAAGGATGGCTAATCCATAGTACCACTTATGACCACATGGGAGTGCTAAGCACATACCAGAAAAAAAAAAGTGTCCTTTTACAGGGGTTTCAAGTATATGTTAATCATTTCTAGCATTAAAATTAAACATCTATAGCATGACCACTTAGGAGCACATTTCTTTAAATCCTGAAAGTTAACCTGTTACATCCAGGTTTAAATTTAGATGAGGCATTTCACAAAGCTTGTTTCATAAACACAAGGCAACTAAGTCATACTGATATGCCAGGTGTACAAGTGTAGAGTTTAGTTCTTGGGTTTGGGTTTTTTGAAGTGTCTGGAAAGTTCAACATGTAAATGCTCTTCAGCAGAGAGAAGGAGCATGTTATAGTCACAGCACAGGTGCAGCCCATATGACACCTGTAAGAAATATTGTAACTAGGAAAAAATAAGTAATGACAGGTTGCAAAACATTGGGCATATACAGTCCAAATAATGTACTAATAATTTGATTGTAGGCTTAAGTTCAAGTTTCTCCTTTTTACCTACTGCAATCCTTTTTCCTCTTAGGATGAAACTATATTTTCAGCTTCATGGTATTAATATACAACAATCAGTAAGATCTTAAAATTAGTAATTTTCATGAAGCAGTTGTGGCTTGTATTAGATAAACTACTATAGCAGTAAGAATCAGCATGTATGATTACTTACCCCATTTCATCACCCTATATATAGGCCTAAACAATCTTCAAATACAACTATACCATCCAAGTTTGCAAAAGCAATTAAAAGCTATTGAGAGAATAGCAAACTGGTGCTTTCTGCTAATTAAACACTACCCCCCACACACACACCCCCTTCTGAGGGTTTGGATACAACGGAGAAATATTAAGCACTTATGGAAGGGCTGAGCCAGAACAGGAATCAAGTATTTTAAGCTCGAGCTGCCACTTAAACTTTCCTTTTGTATTACAATAGAAGTTGCTATCAAATTCAGCAGTATAAGGAAAGCCCAAATGACTCCATGAAAGCAGAGTCTTCACTTGGTTCTATTGCATCACTCACATTTTTTTCCTTCCAGAAATAAGAATAAGCATAAAAAACCCAAAACACCTCATCTTGCACGAAGTTCTACTTTGCAGATATATTACAGAAATCCCACTGAGACACGGTGGTGGTTATGCAATTAGCTATCTGGACTACCTAAGTATTTATTTTTCAGCCACCAGATGAAAACCACTGTTTAGGCTCCTCCTGTAAGGCTTCTTCTAATCATGTTAATTTTCAAGGTATGGTTACCAATAATGAAATCTGTTCATAAATCCTAAAAGACAGTATTACTACAGGTGGCTTAACATGACCATATTTAGGATATCACAAAGCTTAGATTTAATCTTTAAAAAATTATGCTCTATGAAGTAGTACTAAAATAACAAGTATCTTGGGAGATTTACTGACTGACATTGAACAGACTCATTCATATGACAGAGAAAAAGGACTCATAAGTGTTTGATACTGGCTTTTTAACTGTTCAAAGTCTGCTAGGAGCAAGCAAATGGAAGCATAGTTATGCCCATACACACACAACTTCAGGGGCATGTTATCAGAGTCTACTAAGCTCATTTTAAATAACAAAACCAAACATCAGCAGAACTTCTTTCTTAGCTAAGTTTTACCAAGGATGTAAGGAACATTTTTTATTGTATTATTTTGATAATGCACAAAAATACTCATGTACAACAAGAGCAATGATCCCCTTAGCTGAAAAAAAAAATCATATTTTAATACTATTTCATTTTATAACTTTAACTGAACTTTTTAAAAGGAAGTTGTCATAATTTAAATTGTGTTCACACTTGTCAGTCAATTCAAGACATTCTTAATATTAAGCAGCATTTCCTTTATATTAGTATCACCTCAACACTTGGTGCAGTTTTATTTTTGCATCAGGTTTCACTGAAAATTGGAAAACAATATTGAATTAACTGCAGAAATTAATCCAGAATAAAAATGGTTAAACATGGTATGCTAATTTTCTACTTTGCTTTCCCAACAATACAAAACATAAACCAACAAGAACCTGGTAGCAGTTAATTTGTGGTTTTGTTACATGTTTACCCGATGCTAATTTCCCACTTTCTCAGACAACTTGTTTAACTAGACATTTTAATTGGACTGAAACCCTGGGGAAAAAAGGAACCTACATGTGAGTTCTACAACAGTGTAATTTAATATGAAAGGGTTTTTGGTTATACTTGAAGAAATGCTGCTGTTGTAGGTATTTACCTTGGCATGTTTTTGTTTGGAGGGTTTTCTTTCAAAGTAAAGTCACAGAAACATGTGCCAACAGGTAAAGAAAAAAAAAATTCAACGCAGAACTATGGCTCCCAAGCAAACTTGCTACACAGCTTCAGCAAGAGATAGCTACTAAAATTAAAATTAAATTTTAAGTGTAGCCTCATTTTGGACCTGGCCTTCCATTCCTCAAGCAGGTGAGAGCTGTGGGACTTTCACCTGCATGAAGAACTCTATGATCACTCTTCCCAGTAAATAACTTCGTTTAGTGTGTGCTTTTGTGTGTATATGCATGTACATACACTGATAGGCACTGTATAGCTATATACACAAGGCCAACTGTAATTAAAGATTTTTGAAACTGTGTCCCTTATTAAAAATAAAATTTTAGGCTCCTTGACCTCTGATGTTAGCAGCTATTTCTAATTAGCAAAGTCATCAGGTAGCACAACAGTTTAAATATAAAATTACTAATAAAAATGTAAAAATTGGTATATAGTAGAATACATGGGAGATAATAGTGGTAAGCAATATTTTAGGGTCATAAGATATTCATACCCCCAGTGTGTAAAAAAAGTCAGACTCGCTTCCAGCTGTACCAGTCATGCAAAGGCCTTACCTTCATTAGCAAGAATAATGCAACAAACCACTTCCCACTATTGTGTTATTTTTTTATATACCTTGATACGCCAATATCGTGCCTTTACAATTGAGCATGTTTTTGCCCTTATGCACTCCAGAACTCTGAAGATGAGACTTTTGGGTGCTTCTGTGGATGAGTGATAGTTAGTAATGAAAGTGTTACTGTAGTCTTTGGCACCTCTATCTCGTTAGTAAAGCAAAGTCCTGCTCCATTTTTTTTAATAAAAAAATCCCATCAGTGGTGCATTTCATTAGCTCTGAGGAGTAGAATAGGTCTGTACAGCCTGATGATAAGAAAACATCTGAAATGGCAATATATATGTGTCTATAATTGTCTCTTCAATCAATTGCACAGAAGCTTGGTCCACTTCTTCAGTTACAGTAGAGTCCTCTTAAGAACTTTGGTTACAGCATTAATGTTTTGGTAAAAAACAAAACAAAAGAAAACAGAAAAAAAACCACAGAGCAGATGCTTTCCTTCATTTCTTCAGGTAGATTTTTCATTGTCCTCTCCTGTCTTCTGAACCCGTGAATACTTTTTGCATGAAGATTTGAAGCAGCTGGGAGGCCAAGATATTGGCCAGGAAAAGCTGCAAGGAACAGAGCCTTGCACATTCTTCTCGAAGAAATAAAATATTGGATACCACCATGCTCGAGAGAGAAAATTCGTCTGCGAAGAAACCTTTAAAGTCTGTATTGGCACAAGTAGATGAAGAGGAAAAGGAAACAGACAGTCAGTTTAGAGCATTATAATCAATTATATTGAGTCAAGACAACTACAGAAACGCATTTCCGCAAAGACAATGAGCATTTAGCCTAGAAAACACAGAATTGACATAATGCATAGGTCATAGTCCAAATGCATATGACCAAGTGAGCATCTTTAACACAAAGGGATGCTTTGTTGCTCTACAAAATTTGGGGTTACAAAGCACCCAAGTCTTTTTGAATATGAGTGCTTCCAGGCATGTCATGTTTCCATTGATGACTAATAGTTGAAAATTGAATTAAATTGGCTTGAGAGCTATGCTTCTACTTGAAAGTGTTGTTTAAACAACTCCAGCAGATACCTTCTGAAAAATATACTTTTATTGACATTTACAGAAGAACTGTCACTAGAATTTTAGGATGGTGTAGGTAATTTCAGTTGGCCACAAGTTTTATTACTAAACTACTGATTATTCATAAGCTGAGACAAACAAAGGCTATTCTGAACACCAACTACAGCAAAAAAACCTCTAAGTTCAAAAAAATGTTTTAAAGACAAATTATTAATATTTACTTAAACAGTAAAGTGAAATTCCTTGCCCATTCTGTTTAAACTTCAATATGGAACCTCTATTTTTATTTAGAAATTAAAAACTAACTTAGACCTTTGGGCAGTACATTGATTCTAAAGGTATTTGCCACTCACCTTTTCATTAGCCATTGAGTGGTACCACCAAAAGAGCCGTGTGGTGATATAATAAGCAATGATGACGTCTACAGTATAGTGTTCATGAGCAACAAGGATACAAATGATACCAGCAGCACTCATTAGCCAGCAGATCAAGTGATACCACCAGAAATGACGTGGTGAATCTGTGAAACGGGGAGGTACAGGAGAAAACACACCAAAAAAGACATTCATTATTATAGCGATCCACAAAAAGAAGGGGAAAAGATAAAAATGATTTAAGGTTACTAAATGTGAAAACTTAACTCCTATCACACTGGTACAAAACCCCTGCTTTGACAGGGGTTTTGACAGAGAAAACAAGATTAAAGGATTATACAAGTTTACTGAGCTGTGTTCTTACTTCGTAAAAGGATCCCAAGATGAGCCTGCAGTTATACAGCAGTTATACAGCCTGCAGTTATATACCACCCATCTTCTAGTCAAATTAAGTTTTCCAGATAAGTCACTTCTAGGATATGGGGTGGAGAGGAATAGACAGAATTGAGGCAAAACATACACTTTGTTATTTTACTTGAATCTTTGCTTTTCTTACAGTCTATGCTCAAGTAAACTCAAGTGCCTAGAATTGATACAACCTGAGCAGAGATCTCAACTATGAGCAGAGATCATAGATTAAACAGGAAAAGACACTCTTATTTAAATTCTTAGGTTTTAAATACTTTGCATGAAGCCTCAGTTCTGTGAAACAGAGTACTCTGTACAGGGAAGGACGGTATGTGAATTTATACCCTTTAATGAAAGATTTAACAAATGGGAGTGAAGCTGTTCTTCAAAACACATTTAAGCCACTTCAGCAGAAAAGCTCCCCTGCTCTTCTTTCCCCATTGAAAAATCCCTCGGGTGTCCCAATGACCATTCATAACTTCTGACAGACTAACTGGCTTCATTTCACTCACAGCGGGAGGTTTTGGCACCCCTTGCCTTGTGGGGCAATGGTCAGCCTTGACTTTCACACAATACCAGCAGAAAAGTTACTGATCTCAACAAGCTTACTCAACAAACTACTGTTTGAGAGGCCTGTGCAAGATAATAATGATAATTAAAAAAAAAGAAAGATAAGAAGCCAAGTAATCTCAAATTGATGGAAGTACCACAAAGCAAGACAGACATATCAAAGCTAAAAATATAGCTATTCTGGTATAAAAGGTAGACTGCAGAGGAATAAGTGGAAAAAGTGACAGTGTATGAAAGGAAGAACAGAGCAAAAACTCTACTAAGTGAGAAATAATAAAATCCTCAAAATGCATCTTACACCGAAGATATGTTATCAAAAGAGCAGAGAAGAACACCATAAGCAGCCTCTAATTCAGAACAATCATAGGGCTTATGCCCTTGTTCAGATAGCATTTTGCTAATTAAATAGGAGGCAGAAAAAGGAAATTATGCATTTCTCATTTATAGAGCATAACTCCCCTGAAATATATGCCTAACAATTAGGTAGCAGTCAAAGGGCTTATTACAAGAATTTTTATGATACAATTTCTCCAACCCTTTATGATATAAGTACAGGAATAAAACTAATCCAGGAACTACTGGGTTGTCTGCATCTTTCCTGGTACTAAAAATAAGTACGCAAACAGCATTAAGATGCAATATAACATACAAAAACAAGGCAAAAAATAGATCTATTATTAGGTTATTTTCCTAATACTGATCCGGTAATTTTGACATATGTCATTCCCTCAGTAATGTTCACTTTACAAGACAGACCTAGGCCTAAAAATCGGACTGTAATCGGCATCTTAAATCACTGTTCGAAGAAGAATGTCTCACATCTGTAGATCCAGAGTTTATCATATTAAACAGGCTTTTTTATATTGAGGTTTTTGGTTAAGGCAGAATGTAGCACTACAACACCTCATTCCCTCAACATTTAATAAAAGGAAGGCATCCAACTAATGCTGGCTAGTCTTATTTTTGTTTTTCCCCATGAGCCAAGACAGCATTTGCATAGTTTGGAATACAACAGTAGGAGAGAAGAATCCAATTCTAAATATGTGAACTGAAAAGGGAACTCCCCACTACACACTCAGGAGCAGCCAAGTTCTCGGGACAGAAGCATTGCTTACCACATATCAGATTTGGAAGCTGGTGCTCAGTTCTCCAACACTTCAATTGGCTGCACCAATAGAGAAACCATAACTATCTTCTGTGAGCTTGCCAACTATTTATTAACTACAAGAAGTATTACGCAGGACATTCTAGCAGAAGACATCCAAAGAGCACAAACCAACTTTCCACTGTTTGCAGTAACTACTGTACAGCAGAGGTGAGAAAAGTAACTTTGCGTCCAGAGGTAGCATACGTGTGCAACAGTGCTGTGTTCAAGCCACAGAATTCCTTAAAGTCTAACATAGATCTAACAAAGCTGGGAGGAGTGGCCAATACCCCAGAGTGCTGCACAGCCTTTCATAGCAGGATCTCACACACTGGGGAATGGGCAGAGCAGAACCTTTTGAAATTCAGCAAAGACCAGTGCAGGGTCCTGCACCTGGGAAGGAAGAATGTGGTGCACCAGTATAGGTTGGGGGCCAACCTGCTGGAAAGCTCTGCAGAGAAGTACCTGAGAGTCCAGGTGGACAAGATGTCCAGGAGCCAGCAGTGTTCCCTTGTGGCCAAGAAGGGCAGGGGGTATCCTGAGGTGCATTAGGAAAAGCATTACCAAAAGGTCAAGGGAGGCGATCCTGCCCCTTTACTCGCCCTAGTGAGGCTGCATTTGGAGTTCCGAGCTCCCCAGTACAAGACAGATGTGGAGCAAGTCCAGTGGAGGGCTAGGATGACTGGGATATTGGAGCACCTCTCTTAGGAGGGAAAACTGGGGGAGATGGGCCTGTTTAGACTGAAAAAGAGAAGCTTGAGAGGGGGCCTGATGAATGTCTCTAAGTATCTGAAGGGAGGGTGTCAAGAGGATGGTGCCAAACATTAGGACAAGAGGCAACAGGCAGGAACCGATGCACAGGAAGTTCCCCCTGAATGCAGGGAAGAACTTTTGTACTTCACCAGTACACAGGTGACTGCGCAGTGGAACAGGCTGCCCGGAGAGGTTGTGGAGTCTCTCTCCATATTCAAGATACTCAAGAACTGTCTGGATGCAACCCTCTGCAATGTAGTCTAGATGACCCTGCTTGAGCAAGGAGGTTGGGCTAGAGGACCTCCAGCAGTCCCTTCCAACCTTAACGTATGATTTTACTACATCCATGTTCCATTTCCAGTCAGAATCATGATTTGTATTTCAAACCCATACTCATACAGTCTATGTACAACTGACAGGTTACTTCTGGAGGGCAGTAGTTTTACATTCATGTTAGCACATGTTTTCCCAGAAGAACAAAAGCATTGAAACACACTTACACTCTTTGATGAACAGGTAGACCAGCGTTAATACCACAGTGTGTCCACTAAACAGGAAGTCTCCACACAGGATGTGTGATCCAGTTATGGACAGACCACCACCAGAAATCAGTCGCAGGATTCTCTGAACCTTTGCCTGAGAATCTCCATTCAACTACAACACCAGAAACAAAAGCACAAAGTAAAGGTTAAGATATACCACAACCTGAGTACACTTCTTGCCCAAACACATGTGAAAAGGATATAATTATCTTCGTTTTCTTTATCTTTCTCTCACATATTCTTAAACAAATAAGCATGCATATCATAGCTGACAGATGATAAAGCTTAGTTTGATAACATTAGCATTCCATCTATGCTTTCTCAGGCTATTTTGAAATATGCCTTGTATGAGAATGAGATGCAGAATATATTGAGAAGGTAAACACTAAGAATTTGTAGTCAGACGCCACGGCAGCAGTCCACAGAATGGATAAAATCAATTCAAAACCACTACAACCCTTGCATGCTACTTCTGTCATTCTGTTCAAAGCTGAACAAGGTTTCCACAGAGCAAAAACCTCAAACTTGGTAAATTTTAAATTTGGTTATAAGCTCAGTGAGGACTTACTAATATTTAGAGGATGTATGTTTTTTAAACATGCATTAGGATCAGCTTTTGATTTTTCACAGATACTAGGCAAACTTAGTTTCACCTAGCTGCTTAAAAATTTACTCTAGAAAAAAAAGGATAACTGAGTTTTCCATAACCATAAAAGTATTCACACAAAACAAACAAACAAAAAAATAAAAACAAAACAAAAAAACCCAAGAAATCCAGAAAAGCTATCAAGTTTTTTTCAGAGTTCAAGTAATTCATCCTTGTTTAATGCCAGCAAAATGCGCTTTCAGCAGAGACATTTAAAGTCTTCCTTCGCTTACCTCTTCTCACTCCTCAATACAGTCTACTACACAAAGTCATTCCCCAAGCTATTAGAACAAAATAATTATGTCTTTACCATAGTGGTATGTAGAAGTTTTCAAACAGATTCATGTTTGAATCAGAATACTGATTCATGTGCCTAAAGTTGTTTCAATGTAAAAGAGAACAGATATGATGCTGTACCACAAGACTGATGAGATCCTACTGAAGAGGTGACAAATTCATCCCCCCAGTAAACTTTTCTTTCATCACACCCAATATAACAGTTTGTTCCAAGGCAATCATAAGTCTACATCTTTTTATTAGTAGCCTAAAACGGCAATAACAACTCCTTTGTGTCACCACTTAACTACAGTGCCATAGAAGTTTTTTAAATGTTTTTGTAAAAATATTAGCACATCCATGTTTCTATATGTGTCAGTCTATTTAAGCAGCTTAACTTGTTTTAGTCACATTTCTATACATTTGCAGGTTGGAAGCAGAGACAAGCAATTGATTTCAGGTATTGCAATAGCTCTTGACCAAACAGTGTGAGAAACAAGAACAAAGCATATAACTGGTTTTTAAAGGGATTCAGCAACAGAAGCTTGCATATAAGCCTATAAGTTACAATATTGACCTTAGGTATCCTTCTACATAAGAAAAGAATATTGCTGTATTATTAAGAGTGATTAGCTTGAGCCTCAGACTAGCAGTGCTATTTCAACATAGGTACTCTCATTAAAGCATCTTAACTGCAACAACTTGAGGCTCTTTCTGTATCAGACAACTTTTGATTTATTGTTACCTATGTTTCTGAAGACATCAGCTGAAAGTAATTTGTGTTATTTAATAACACCTGAAACATTACTTTCCACTTGGTCAAAGGAACCAATGAGGACACAGGCAGAGACTCAGGCAAGAATTAGGGAGCAAAGGCTCTTACCTTTGGTGCACACTGAAAATGCATCCCAGGCACAGGTAAGGTGGTAACGTACATAGTAATACAGCGGTACAGATACAGAGTTCCTATTATAAAAAAGAACCTGCGTCCCACTATTGATCTGAAAGTAAAGGAAGGGGGGGGAAAGATTGAATACCAAATTTACATGCAGAATACACATTAACAGTTATGTAGCTCTAGCTTTATTAGATAGCTAAATCCCTAGAATGAAATAGCAGCTCCATCCCCAGCTCTTCACCACACATTTCTCTAAATCAAATACTAAAAAGTCCTTCTTCAGGTTTTAGTCCTGCTAGCTCTTAATAGCACAGAGCTCCCATCTATTTAATGTGGCCTCACTCTAACTTAGATGCGCAGTCAGGATCAGTTTGCCTCAACTCAGTGATATTCTCTTCATAGTCCCATATTATAACCATATTCTTGACTTACATATGTATAGTTTAAGGAAATGCAGACACAGGAAGAAGCTTCTAGTCTAGCTGTAGAGGACAGTGGGTTCTTCCTCATATTTGGATGAGATTTTTTTACGTCATCATAATTTCCTCTGTTTAAACATCCCCATGTCAGTAAACTTTGAAAAGCCCAATCTCAAATAAGTTTGACTAGTACAACATGGGTGTCAGAAATTCAGACCTAAACATTATTCAGTTATCAGGACACCCGTGTTTTGATATCCAGCATGGAGACTGGAACGTTTTTTAAACAAGTCACCCCTTTGTCACTTTCCTGTCAGGTCTCTTCTATATTGTTAAGGATTTTAACATAAGATTCCTTCTACTCAAAACAAACAATGAAAACCAACATTCTGAAAACATAAAGCAGGGAAAAAAAAAATATAGCTAACTTACTTGTATCTAAGAAACAACCACTGGCATATCCATAATCCAAGCAGTATCATTCCGTTTATTTCTGATACAGAAAAAGCCCATTTCACACGATCAATGTAATCAAAAAATTTGTCAGGCAAGGGAGGGCTTAGCTCCTTTGGAGGTACTCTCTCATGGACCACAGTGATCATGACAGTTGTTAGAATCAAGTTGAAGAGAGCATAGACAAAGGCAATGCCTGTTTTCCACCACTCCAGAGGAAATTTGTTCCTAGCCTCAGCAGGCATAGAAATCTGGATGTAATCAGGATATTTCTTTGCTGTTTTCCGCAAGCCATTTGACAAGCCCTTTGGTTTGTTAGTGCCATTTTTGTTCTCTTCACTGACTGAGAGAGTAGGTCGTGAGTAGCCATTAGAAGTGTCATTCGTTTGACCCTCCATATGCTCTTCAAGCTTTGCTGTCTCAATGGTATTCATTTCCAAGCTGTATGGCGAAGACAGGATTACCAGTGACCAATTTCTGGGCTCTTTGAACTCTGTTATTCCTTAAAGTCCAATGTTCTTGTTCCTAGACGATTTCCGATTTCTGTAAAACTCTAAAATGTGTCCATTGTGCTTTCAAAGGAAATCGTGAAGACAAATCTCTCCTCTAGAGCTGAATCATCTGAAAAACAAAACAGATGGACCTTCAGAAGTAGTAATGTGACAGTGAACAAAATATTATCCTTGGGAAAAGCATTTTTAAGTATTTAAGTTCCATCCAAGTCTACTTACATATACAGTCAAAAGGCAAAGTAAAGGTAGATAGTCACTGTGAAATAATTCAAGCCCATTCCTACCAAATAACCTGATAAATCTCCTATCAGTTTAAGAACTAGAACCAGTTAGGCTTTTTTTTTAAAGGACAAGATCCAGAGACTTGAATCACCATGACAGCACTTGTTTTATCAGTTGTCAGAATTAAGGCTAATCCATGTTTGCAGCAACATTGAATTTTACTGCATAGTGGTATTCCATGCAAAATATCCCAGTTTTGATGATTGGGTTGCTACACATATTAATATGGTTTGTCCATATAGATGAGACAATCTTGTAAGTTCAGGTGATAGGACAAAAAACCAGAAGGGCATCACAAATTTTGATTTTGTAAGGCATAAAGTAATTCAGATTCATCTAGAAAATCTACTCAATTGATAGCTCCATTAAACTTTATTGGTTTACTGAACCAAGTAAAACCCATGTTAAGACAGCTACTGTAACACCCACTAAATAACATCTGAAACTTCAGAGAACTGAGAAATATACCTCTGTATTAGATTCTTAGTTATGGTACCCTATATGGAGAATAGACCACAAATGAATCTGTGTTTGTTCTTTAGCTACTTTGAAAAAAAAATTAAATCTATTTAGACAATTTTTTAAAACAGGAACAAACAGCAAGATCTATTATTGCACAGGATTTATTTAAGGCTACATTTGTCAATTCAGTAAAATCTCATTAGATTTAAAAAAAACCAAAACATTTTCTACAGAGAGAAAAGAATACAGTTCAGCTCTACACAACTGACATTGCTCTAGTCAAAATAAAGGCCACTCTCTCCATCTTTAAACTTCTGTAAAACCACTTACTCACCATAGTTGTGATGTACGTATTTTTTTCTTACTCTGTTCAGCTCCTATGACAAGAGTAGTATTACCATCTACTAGTACATTGTAATTCTCTCCTTTTTTTAGTGGTTCCTCTAGAAGTTCAGCACTGCTGGCTCCTCAGGTCTCTGCACACCAACACAGGCTGCCAGTTTGCCATGTTTTAAGTACGATTAAGTCATCATGATGACAGCTAGAGCTGTCAGTCTCCCTAACCATACACCATAGGACTTGGCTTAAGAAAAAGCAACTAGTTTAGGAAAAACCTGCCCAGTAACTGATCTCTTGATAGCAAGGACAATCTACGACCAGAACATCCTGGAAAGTCAAGTGATTGTGCTTTGGTCCCTCCCACCTTATCCCTCCCAATAGAGAAGACATTTAACATGGTCAGCATGCAAATACCACTGATTTCCTAGCTGCTGCTCTTACCGCTGCTAGAGAAAAGGAGTAGAAGTTCAGATCCCAAATATGTGAGATTCATACAAATAATACTAAAATAGCCAAGAAGCATTTCTAAATTTACTCCTCTGCAGTGTTTTTGAAATCCACTGTCATTAGTTGACCTTTTCAAAATTCCTGATCAACAAGCCTGTGAAAACTATACACACAACACACCCAAACAAACATCCAAGAAAACAAGTGGTGATTTTGGATGATTTTTTTCCCCTCTTAGCAATCATGCTGTGAGCCCTGCATGTCTAAGAAAAGAGAATGTTTAACCCAGCAGCCAGGCAATGACCTCTCTGATGTTTCTTACAACTAAAAATACTCTTTTAGAGCATCTGCAAAAGAAACAGCCTTATTTAAAACTGTAGTAGAACAATATGTTAGCTTTCTCAAGTCCTTTTCTTAACACACTCTTCTATTCCCTGTCTACTAAAGTTAAGCACATGACAGAACACTTAGGCAACAGTATATTAAAAAAAAAAATCAACTTAATTGCTTACATTTTGTAATGTGTCCACCTAGCATTCACCAGTAAGTCAATACCCTACTTCTCAACATTACATTTAGCAGAGATCAGCAACACTTGATAAGTTTTATATCCTGTGCAGTTGAAACATTATTAGAATTATGCATTTACCGAGAGCATCACAATAAGTAGTAACCTTAGTTATTTCCATCTCTTCCCAAGAAATACCTAACACCATTACCGACATAAGTAAAAAGAAGATTTTATTTTCAGATGTTTAATGACATCCACATAAGCCCTAACGACCAAAAAGCATCTGAAGTACAGATGAACAATAACCTAAGAACCTAAAAAGCAGGGTGGCACTCATGTTTTGATAAAAACTCATTAGCTTATTAAGCAAAGCAATTATAGCTACAGCTTGCAGAAAAAAATTGTGTTCCTTCCTGGTACTTTTAAATGGATTGTAAGGCATATTGATCTATCACTTCTGACTCATCAAGATTATTTCAAGCAGAGTGCATACTGTGGTCAAGTTTGTTTACATGGGTAGTTCAAGGTGCTACACATCATCTGATCAGGGATCGGTAAGAACATAAGTGCTTCCCTTTATAGTACATTTTCAACCTGTTTTTCCTATATTATAAAAGAAATTAGCAACTCTCTTGATGAAAAAGCCAAAACCCATTCTGCTTGAAGGTTTCAGTCCCTTGCCACCAATCTGACTGGCCAGAGAAGAAGTGACATACAAGAGCACCAACAGCCTAATCATCCCCTGCTACTGGCTGAGAGAGGAACTCCCCAGAAGTATACAGGTTTTTCTGCCAAGTTCCGATCCCCAATTCACATATCCATTCACACACCAGTAAGCTGTGTGTTCCTTTTATCTTCATGTTGTCCTTATGTTACTTTAAGTAAAATATCCATTTCATTCTTTTGTCAAACCTGAAACATTCCCATATCAAAACCAGGAGATGCCCATAAACTGCGTAGTAGAAGAGATGACCCTAGAATTCTTCAGTTACCATGCAGCTTAGATCTGGACATCCTGCCATTGTCTAGGGTTTGAAAATCAAACCAAATTGCTCTAAAATATGAGAGAGCTACTGGTGAAGTCTCAAACTTACATGAAACTGGCCAAGTAACCCAAAAGAGTAAATAAAATTCAGATAAAGGATACATCCAGGTATTAGGAACAAACTTGCTTTTTGGAACCACTTCCATACCTTCTAAAAATAGATGTTACCTCATCAAGAAGCAGAGCTTCTTAACAAGCAGCTTTACAGCAGAAGCTGTAATTGCCTCAAGGAACAACATATTTCAAGGAAAATCTTAAGAATGAAAAAGATGCTAAAAGAGCAAGGGTCCTAATTTTTTATCCTGAGCTCCTACTTGCTACCATGTAAATAGCTCCCTTAGTTTTCTGCATCCCCATTTGTCATTCAAAGGAAAATAGTTGACAGGGGGCACAGCTTTGAGGCAAGCATAAGAAAGCACGTCTACATTTGGCTCTTTATGCTAGAACTCAAGAATAACAAGGAGTTTTATTTAGCTTGTTAGTCATCAGATTTCCACATAAAGGTCATTTTCACATACAGTTAGTTCAGAATATTGGGTTTTCTTAAACAGTATTTGAAACATTAACATTTCTCAAAATATTTTAATTTCTATAATTTATGAAGGACTGAATAGTCGCAATCTGCACAGGCTTTCCAAATAAACAGTTCTTAACCTGCTGTTCCAATATTATTGGAACAAGAGTAACCAAAACAGTAAGACTGATCTATTCTGACATTAAGGAAAGCTACACTTTCATATACAAGATGCAAAAGACTTCTAAGGAGCACTGCTTTTAAGCCTCATTCACTTTTGTTAAGGTTGACTCCAACATTTGATATAGCTGTAATATATTCTTGTATTTGGTAGCTGCAGAAAAAGGGTCTGTAAATAAAGTACAATTTGAGGTTACATGAGAGAACACTTGAGTATTTTTTTATTTGTATCACAACTATTGGGAAACAACTGTTAGCTAGCTTGTATTTTCTTCAGTCAAATTTTTAGGACTACCTATGGGACTAGAACTAAAAAAGAAGTCAGGACACGTCTCTTACCTAGACAGCAACGAATAAAACTTGCTTTTAGGGGTTTCTCTTTAACTTCTGAATGCTTTCTGAAAGCATTCCAGGTCTCAGTTAATTTCTATCATATCTCTTCTTCCATGCCATATGTAGACCTCACAGCATGTAGACAACTGGGAGAAAAAGAAATCCAAAACAAAACAAAAAACCAACCAACCAAAACAAAAAACTCAAACACACATCACCACCCAAAACCCAGTTAACCAACTGTTAAACCAGATCTGAGTAAAGTATATTCAGGTATGCAGAAACAGAAATGAGTTTAAGAGGTTTCCTTATGATTTCTATTTCCCTACAGTAAAAATATTTTCAGAGCTATGTTCATCTTTGACCTGTACAATTATTTACGCTTACAATATATAAAACCCTGGACTTTATCTAAAAGTTATGAGTTTATCTACATTCCATAATAAGCTGCCAACACATTTTTTGCTCGTGTGATGCTAAGGAGTTACGAGTAAGATAAAGCTGTATCATAGAAGCACCATTCATTCAAATGCCCTCAGAACTGAGATTATCATCACATTATCACTTGCAATAAATGTTAACTTTTATAAAAAGCATTAACTACTTACCTTTTACAAAATTCTTTTCAGAAGTAGAAATAGAGCAGTTACTCCCTCTACCTCAATAGAGGGATTCTGCAATTCTCTCATTTATGATTACTAAGGTACCAACAGATATCTTTTAAGGACTAAATTCCTACACTTGCCTAAACAGAGGAGAAAAGCTTCAAGGCTATAGTTTACCTATTTGTGCAAACCAAGCTTTACCAGTCCTATGGAATTCTATTTCTTCATACCTCTTAATAGTAAAAAGCTTCCATTTTCCTGGCAATTCAGTATTCAGTGTGTTCCACAGCAATGGTAGGTTTCTAAAACAGTATGTCCCAAAAAGCACAAAAAACCCTCTCATAGCACCATATTCATATTCATAGTTTGGGCTGAAAGGGCCCTTAAAGAT